CCTATGGCTCTAATCTGCGGTGCAGTGTGGCACTTACACAAGAGGCAGCTATGTGCTGGGGAGTGTTAAAATCTGCCTGCCAGCCTGAATTCAGGCAGGGAGACAAAGACCCAGCTCCCACACCTTTTTGCTCTTTACTAGATCCCTCTGTGCCAATGCTGGAGCCTGCCCAGGACTCGCCGCACAGCCGCAGAGTCTTGTGGTGCCCTTGCCGATCCTCCCAGTGCCCAGGTCTCCTCAGCAAACGTGCTGAGGGTGCGCTCCGTCCCTTGCGCCAGCTCACTGGGCAAAGGAGACTGACCCCAGCAGGGAGCCCCGCGCTCACAACCCTCTGAGCTCGGCCATTCAGCCAACTCTCAACCCACTCAGTGCCCACTCATCTAAGCCACACTTCCCCAGCTGCCTGTGAGGCTGTTCTGGGAGGCAGGGTCAAAAGCCTTGCTGAAGCCACGGCAGACAACAGCCACTGCTCTCCCCTCATCTACCCAGCCAGTCATTCCAGCACAGAAGGTTAGAGACGGGTCAAGCAGGATTTTCCCTTCCTTTTATTCTACAGGCTTCGAAATGACACGCAGCATGAGGTGTTCTGTCTCCGTTCTGGGGATGGAGGTGACACTGATGGGCCTGTCAATTCCCGGGTCCTTCTTGCTGCCCTTTTTGAAGACTGGAGGGATGTGGGCTTTGCTGCATCCTCAGGCACTTCTGCTGGGGAATCAGCGTCCCTGACGTGCTGGCAGTGTTCGCCATGCCAGGGGCAGGAGCAGAGATTTGCCTTGGCCAGGGCCGGAGCCCTGGAGTGGCACTGCCTGAACACACTTTTTGTGCAACAGGGGCTGCCCAAGAGTCCTCGGTGGCTGCCCCAGGGCCTGGCGTTTGACCCTGTGCTTGCTGCAGCAGCCGCCGCCCCGGCTCTGTGGTTACCGAGGGCTGGGGACTCCTCTCGGAACCTCGGTTACCGAGGGGCCGCCTCACAGTGGGTGGTGGGGGCTGGGGCCATCCCTGCCCACATTTTGGGTGCACGATGCTGATGTCACAGTGTGGCCTCTGTGACCCGTGGGACCGAGGGCACAAAAGGGGTGTCTGGGCTCAGGCCCAGTGTCAGTGTTACCTGACAACGAGCGGAGAAGGAAGAGGAGGGACAGTGCTGCCCAGGGAGAGCCTCACACCTTGGGGCTC